TCACAAAAGCGTTACAAGGGGGGGGGGAGGAGATTTTTCTCGGAAAAATGCCGAGAAAGTGCATTGAGTAATTTAGGGACGGCCGCGAAGTCAAAATTGGTTTTCAAATGCAATAAGCTCAAAAACTGTCTTGGTTGATTTCAACTATCAGTCTTATGACGAATAATTGAAAAATTAACTTTGAATCGACGAAAAGAATCAAAAGAGCTCATAAAATGAATATTAAAAACCCATTCATCGAAGGAGAGTATATATGGATTACGTTTTGGAATAAGGAACCACTATCTTTGGCTCTCCCATAAAACCACATATCTGCATAGGGAAACCAATGGCATTTATGTTGTTTCTAAAATGGGCCAGAAATAGTGGTTCCTTCTTGCAAAATGTAATCCATGTATATAAAGTCGCTCCTACGACGCACTCAGGCGTTCTGCGACACCCAAACGCCACATACAGGGTGATCCAGACCACCCGTCCACTACCTTTTTCTCAAAAACGGCGGAGAATTGAGCTTCGGGACCAAAACTTTCATGGGGTAAATCGACCCCAAAGAATCGAATGAAAATATTTTCAGCCCCCCAAAATGGCCCCTTGGGGGGGTTTTGGGGGGGAGCCCCCCCGTTTCTCGAAATTTTCAAATAGGAAGGGTATGTTTTGACTTTGGATTCGAAATCTACGGCAAAAAATAAGAACATTTTACTTTTTGCACTTTTTCCCTAAACCCCCATTTTTTTGAGTTATGGGGCATTTACGGGCCTTTTTGGGGCGATTTTCAATTCGATGCTGTAAGCGGCCAAATTATCCAAATTTCAAAATCTAAAAATCCCCTGAGAGGAGAGGTCAATACCTTTCTATTGATGTGCCACATGACCCCTGTTGCTCAAAAATTTTGGGGGCCACGACCCCCCAAAAATTTTGAGGTTTTGGAGGGCCGTAAGTCGAAAATTTCAAATGGCAAGGGTATGTTTTGATTTCAGATTTGGATTCTACGCGAAAAGTTACGTAGAATTGATATGGCGCATGGCCTGTTTTCTCAAATTTTTTTTTGCCCCTTATTTTCTCCAAAAATACACGGCTTCTTATGGGGAAATGGGGTTCTTCAGTAATTTGGAGCAAACAGGCCATGCGCCATATCAATTCTACGTAACTTTTCGCGTAGAATCCAAATCTGAAATCAAAACATACCCTTGCTATTTGAAATTTTCGACTTACGTCCCTCCAAAACCCCAAAATTTTTGGGGGGTCGTGGCCCCCAAAATTTTTGAGCAACAGGGGTCATGTGGCACATCAATAGAAAGGTATTGACCTCTCCTCTCAGGGGATTTTTAGATTTTGAAATTTGGATAATTTGGCCGCTTACAGCATCGAATTGAAAATTGCCCCAAAAAGGCCCGTAAATGCCCCATATCTCAAAAAAATGGGGGTTTAGGGAAAAAGTGCAAAAAGTAAAATGTTCTTATTTTTTGCCGTAGATTTCGAATCCAAAGTCAAAACATACCCTTCCTATTTGAAAATTTCGAGAAACGGGGGGGCTCCCCCCCAAAACCCCCCCAAGGGGCCATTTTGGGGGGCTGAAAATATTTTCATTCGATTCTTTGGGGTCGATTTACCCCATGAAAGTTTTGGTCCTGAAGCTCAATTCTCCGCCGTTTTTGAGAAAAAGATAGTGGACGGGTGGTCTGGATCACCCTGTATGCCTGTCCTCCCAGAGGTTATCAGGCAAGTGACACCGCAACATCTCTTCGTCAACGCCCTGCCGCCAACCCTTTACGGGACGTCCCCGTCACCTCTTCCCGGGAAGGAGAGTAACCTTGGAATAATCATACCTCTCCTTGCATTTCCTGCAGTTCAATCAAATTCAATTCATATTGCTCAATCACTACGCACTGGTATACCTGAAACTCATTGGAAAATACAGCAAGAATCAAGGATCAAGTTCACCGATGAAATACTCAAGAGGATACGTACGGCTCTTGATGTCAACGTCAGCACAGGACCAAAACCTGTAACTACCCGACCATTCTTTTGCCTCTCGTAATAACCTTATGGAACAGTCATTGCAGGTAAACCCAGAAGGTAATTGAACATTGTAGGACTGAGCACTGAAACACAAACGCAGCAATAAAGAATATTTCAAACAAAAAAAAAATTGCAACTAATAATTGACACTGATAGTCAAATTAAGTCAAAAGCTGAAAAAACAAAATGTTTTTTGGGTGTGATAATTTAAAGTTTAGTGCGAAATTTTTCAAGAGAACATTATTAAATTTGCAATATTTACATTGATGTTAGGTATTCAAATAAGATAGGCAGATTTAATTAGAATCAGCCTACAGTTTTCACGCCTACAGAATTCACGTTGTCTAAGCTCATGTCATCATTCGATTTTTTGACGAAATCAAAAGAACACACAACGCAACGGGGTTTTCCCCATTAATCTCCTTAATTTAAACAAAATACCTATTTCAGAGATATATATATTACAATTTCATTCGGAATGTTGTACGGTTTTCTTGTAAAAAAAAATAAAGCATGTGAGGAAATTAGACAATATTTAGCGTTGTTGTATAGGATGATTTTGGTTAGGTTCCGTCTAAATTAATCCCTATTTCCAGTGATGTAATTCGCTCGCTTTGTAGAGAAAGAGGTAAACGGAAAAGCAGTAATAAAAAGAGAGAACTTACGTTGCGTCATTCCTGACAAACTCAGATTCAGCTGTAACAGGTGTCAAATCTAATACTGGTCGCTCCAGACTGTCCAAAACTTGTAATTTGAAACCACCCTGGAAAAGAAAAAAAATGGAATACGATGAAAACCAGGGTCGGATTTATGGGCCGCGGCCCATGGCGGCAAATTTAGGGGGCGGCAAATGCTGTAATTTTTTCAAAATTAGGTATCAAGAAAAAAATCTGATTCAGAAAAAAAATTACACACGAGAGAAGGCGAAAAAATCTTTGATTTCCTAAAAATTAAAGTATAGTAATTTCTAATTAGTTCGTCTTTCGGTGATAAAAGAGACAGCGCCTTTCATTAATCTGGTTGAGAGAGAGAACAAACACGCAAGTTGGCCTGGAGCGGCGCGGCGCAGAGAGCAATGATGACGAGGACTTGAGATGGAAAGGAGAAGCCCTCGGCACGCTGGTCAGCATGAAACACATATTAGCGCCTACAAGACTTCATGAATACTTCTCGCATTGCGTCATTCAAACACAGTGCGGTCAGCAGCGGTCGGCGTAAAACGCATAGCGCCTACAAGATTGTAAGGATACTTCACGCATTGCGCCGCAAACACAGTGCGGTTGGCGCGGTGGCGGAAATCGAAATCATTAAACCACATTCATGTTTAATCTATCATAATTTTGTCGTTCTTTTCTCATAAATGAAAGGCCTCGTCCCCACAGAGATGGGTTTACAGAACTTAATTTTCGCGCAAAGTTCCATGAAATTTTGCTAGTGATGACGGGGTTTTCGCAGAAAATGTGCCCAACACGAGTAAACGCGTCTTATGCACCCCTCCTCCTCCGGCACGTTCACTTGATGGTTTGTATCGATGTTTCAAAACGAATGAGAAGGGGCGGCAAAATACAGGCGGCCCATGGGCGGCAAGTGGGTAAATCCGGCCCTGATGAAAAGAGTTTTTAGCCAGGGTCACTGGTGCTCCATCATAACACATTATCAGAAGAAAGGCAAAGAATAATTAATGAAGATTGGAGTGAATGCGAGAACGAATTGAGAATCGTCAAACACTTGGTCAAAATCCAGAAAATTTCGAACGTCAAAATAAACGTTCAAACGCTGAGAGAAAAGTATGAAGGCAGACATGTAGTAGAGTCTACTTCACGCTGAAGTACTTGATTTCTAACACAGTGATGCTATTGAGTGAAGATAACCAGATAACTGGTGGAGTTTATCTTTACAGTCAGTGCTACCTGAGTTCTGGTGTTTGCTAGAGTCTGGTGTCGATAACCTTACTCATTTCATATAACTTTCTCTAAATTTAATGTTTTTTTATTCTTTTTCGGTAAAAGCTGCGATGACGTGTTCTCTTTCAGTTTTCTCAAGCATTACGTAAAGTTTTTCTCTACTGAATCCGCAGAGATGCCCAGGGGCCGTATAACCTATCATTGCCTGAGAAATCGCTCTTTATTGCCTCCACGGGCAGACCACCTGACCGCTGGGACGCCGTCATAAATCATGTATAAAGTAATTTCTGTCGCACAGCGAGAACACATCGCATGGACGGAATATGAGTACGACCGGCTTCGGAAATCTCGCGTCAGAAGATGCAAATCATCCGGGAGCGGCCGGGGGGGGGGGGGGGTCAGGGGTCACTCAGCGCGGTTTTCGACGGAATACCGCATGAACAGTCGCAAAAATTGACGAAGGTTGACGGACGAATCGATCACAGTAATTCATCCAAGTCCGACTGGAGATCTCCCGTGCTAAGGAAGAACGCCGCATGAGCCTTCAGACGTTGCCAAGTTTCCTACGATAAAGACTGAATTTACCGGGAAAATGGAGAATTTGCAGGTGTCTGAAATTTGATGAATTTCGTGTTTAAGTGGAAACTACCGAGTGAACTGAACACATGGACACCCTTGGTTCATGAATTGAAAAATTACTGGAGAAGATATGACAAAACGATCTAATCTGCTAAAATACATGTTTTTAAATGGGAAATGCCGCCAGATGACGTCACTAGGCGGTGCATTTTCTCACTTTTAAATCTATTTTTGTACTATTTCCCATATCAGAAAAAAATCCTAAAAATTACTGCGAAATCGGCTCTTAAAGCACTTTCAGATGAAGCAATAAAAAATGTGCATGCAAATTCTCCATTGCGAATATTATTTTCTAAATTCTCCGACAATTATGTACGCAATTTAATTTAAAATATCAGAAAATTTCAAGGAAAAATGTGCATGAATGTTCTCAAACATACATATTTTACCAAGGGCAATTTGGCAACTCTCGAAGGTTCATACGGCGTTCTTCCTTAGCACGGTAGAGATAGGATGAGCAGTGATTTCGACACATAACGAGGGGGAGGGGGGTCGGGGAGATCATGAGACCTCTGCTGGAAGTGCTGGAACGCAAATAGTGTTTTCCCTTCCCATGTTTCGAGGCAATTAAAACTGAAGGCTGGAATTCGCAATTTTGAGGCACGCATGCTCAGGTGAAATTATGCGGATGAAGAGACTCAACAGTCAGAAACGATCGAACCTATACTGCTTAAGGAAGAACGCCGTATGAGCATTCGAGAGTTGCCAAATTGCCTTCGATAAAATGTTCATCTTTGAGGCAAGCTATGAAAATTTATCCTTGAAATTTTCAGGATCTGTAGAAAAAAATAAGAACAAAATTCTCAGAAAAATTTAAAGAAAAATATTCATAAGTTCACCATGAAATTTTTGTTGTATAAATGTAAATTTGGCAACGTCTGAAGGCTCATACGGCGTTTCCACTTAGCAGGGCAGTATAAGAGACTACACATTTTTCAAAAATATTACATAGTCGTGCCTCAAATGTGTCTTTGTATCGTTATCTTGTTGAAATCGGCCATACAGATGCGCAACTCACAAAATCGACTTTTGATTTTTGAGTTGCGTAAATCAGCAAAACAAAATTAAGAGCTGTACTGCCATGCTAAGGAAGAACGTAATGTGAGCCTTCAGACGTTGCTGAGGCTTCCTTTCACAAATCACAAATTTTCGAGGAAATATGTGAATACTTTTCTTCCAAATGGACCACTAGACAAGGTACGAATTTAAGCAATCTGATACATGTTTCTTAACCAGAATTTCACATAGAACACGATTCACACTATGAAAATTACCGAAATCAACTTCTAACGAAGATATTAACGTTTTTATTTCGCACTGATTACGAGGAATTTGAACTGGCCGCTCACAAGAAACTCAAAGCTCTACGTGAGTCAAATCGCGCACTACAACGGTTTCAGCAAGCTTCTCAATCGAGCAATGTTCATTTTCCACCATGTGTTGTTCAAACTATTGGTAATTTGCTATAGCTGAGCCAAAGTGTCAAGATTGAAGTTGAAGATTTTTACATCGCAGAGACTGTCATGATAAACATTTAGCGCGCGATGTGAATCACGTAGAGCATTGAGTTTTCATGAGCGGGTGGTTTGAATTCACGCATCAAGAATCATTAAATATCTTCGTCAGGAGTTGATTTTGGTAATTTTAGTTGTGCGTATCGTGTTCTACGTGAAATTTTGATCGAGAAACATGTATCAGAATGCTGAAATTCGTACCTTGTCTAGTGGTCCATTTTCAGGAAGTTTTGTTCGTGATTTTATCTAGTCTGAAAATTTCGATGAAAAATACTCATGATCATCCTCAAAAATTGGTATTTTCTGAGAGTGGATTCGGCAACATTTGAAGGTTCATACGGCGTTTTTCCTCAGGTCGGCAGTGTTGTAACGCCTCGTTTAAACCTTCAATGTCGGTCGAGACATTATATCTTTACAAAAATACAATGAATGACGTCCAGTGTCGTATAGCGTGAATGCTCGATTATCGTTATTTCCCCATTTGAGCTGTGGTAAAGAATCGATTATTAGGGTGTTCGCAGGCGAACACCCTAATGATCGATCCTTTTCAATGGGTTTAAATGGTAGATCAATCGATTTATCGCAAAGCACACCGCGCCACTGATGACGTCATCCATCGTGATACATGCTGTAAGATTTCTTTTTCACCTCCATATTATGAATGATACACCCATCAACCAATTTAAATTTCATACGATGAAAAATGAGATCAAAACGGAGGGAACCAAGACATCCAGGACGAGGCGGGAATGATCGATTATCGATATTTCCCCATTTGAAGCTGTGGTAAAGAGTCGATTATTAAGATGCTCGTTGCGACACCCTGTTTATCGATCCTTTCCCATAGGTTCAAAAAGCAGATCAATCGATATATCGCAATGCACGGCATGAATCGACGCGATATTGCGATACGCCCGACTGTTTGACTATTTTTGCTAAACAGATGGATTCAACCTTTAAAACTACGTTATGAATCACACAATTGACCCATCTCACTTCCCTTAGTTATTTCAAGCGCGGTGGAATATCCATGAGTCAAGTCTCTCCAGCGAGAGGAGCAATAGTTCGAAGTCTCACCGAAGCTCGTGATTAAGCCAAACGATCACGAAGAGGAAGGTGGAGAGGGACTCAGAGGAATGCCAAACACACTCTCATCGAGATGGAAGAGGGGGGGCGGTGGGAGAAGTTCAAAGCTACTCCAAGCGGAAAGGGAAAGTTCCCATCCTAATTCCTGGCACAATCAAAACTTTTCTCGTGGTGTTCGCAATCACGATGAGGAGTACCCTGGACCCTGGGGGATTTTAAAAATCCGATATTGTTATTCCATCCCTTTTCGAATATGAATGTTATTATCCCTTGAATGAGTACGATGAGGAGTACCCTGGGGGATTTTAAAACTCCCAAATTGTTATTCCGTCCCTTTTCGAATATGATTGTTATTATCCCTTGAATGAGTACGATGAGGAGTACCCTGGGGGATTTTAAACCTCCCAAATTGTTATTCCATCCCTTTTCGAATATGATTGTTATTATCCCTTGAATGAGTACGATGAGGAGTACCCTGGGGGGTTTTAGAACTCCCAAATTGTTATTCCATCCCTTTTCGAATAAGATTGTTATTATCGCTTGAATAAGTCCCATTTCTTCACAGCGGTTGTTTTTTTCTTTCTCTTTTGGCAAACACAGATTTTCTTCAATTTAAATGT